ACCTGAGCGCTCAACGCTAGCGACCTGCACAACAACAACAACAACAACTGCAAGAAGGAGAAGAAGGAGAAGAAGAAGAAGAAGATGAAGGAGAAGAAGGAGAAGAACAGGAGGAAGAAGAAGAAGAAGAAAAGAGGAAGAAGAAGAAGAAGAAGAAGAAGAAGAAGAAGAAAAGAAGAAGAAAAAGAAGAAGAAGAAGAAGAGGGGCAGAGGCCATACCTGCGTCACCGGTACTTACCTGGGCGCCATACCTGTGCTCCACGCTGACGACCTGCACAACAACAACAACAACAACAGCAAGAAGAAGAAGAAGAAGAAGAAGAAGAAGAACAGGGGCAGAGGCCATACGTGCGTCAGAGGTACATACCCGGGCGCCATAGCCGTGCTCCACGCTGGCGATCTGCACAACAACAACGCCAACAACAACAACAACAACAACGACCTCAAGAAGAAGAAGAACAACAACAACAACAATACTTAAGAAGAAGAAGAAGAAGTACAACCACAAAAAGAAGAAGAAGAAGAAGAAGAAGAAGAAGAAGAAGAAGAAGAAGAAGAAGAAGAAGAAGAGGGGCGGAGACCGTACCTGCATCAGCGGTACTTACCTGGGCGACATTGCCGTGCTCCACACTGGCGACCTGCAAAACAACAACAACAACAACAGCAACAGCAACAACAACAACAACAACAACAACAACAACAACAATACAAAGAAGAAGAAGAAGAAGAGGGGTGGAGGCCATACCTGCGTCAGCGGTACTTACGTGGGCGCCATAGCCGTGCTCAACGCTGGCGACCTCCATAACAACAACAACAACAACAACAACAACAACAACAACAACAACAACAACAACAACACGAAGAAGAAGAAGAAGAGGAAGAAGAAGAAGAACAAGAAGAAGAAGATCCACAAGAAAAAGAAGAAGAAGAAGTAGAACAAGAAGGAGAAGAAGAAGAAGAAGAAGAAGAAGAAGAAGAAGAAGAAGAAGAAGAAGAGATGGGCGGATGCCATACCAGCGTCAGCGGTACTTACCTCGGCGCCATAGCCGTGCTCCACGCTGACGACCTACACAACAACAACAACAACAACAGCAAGAAGAAGAAGAAGAAGAAGAAGAAGAAGAAGAAGAAGAAGTAGAAGAAGAAGAAAAAGAAGAAGAAGAAGAAGAAGAAGAACAAGAAGAAGAAGAAGAAGAAGAAGAACAGGGGCGGAGGCCATACGTGCGTCAGAGGTACTTACCTGGGCGCCATAGCCGTGCTCCACGCTGGAGATCTGCACAACAACAACGACAACAACAACAACAACAACGACCACAAGAAGAAGAAGAACAACAACAATAACAACCTTAAGAAGAAGAAGAAGAAGTACAACCACAAAAAGAAGAAGAAGAAGAAGAAGAAGAAGAAGAAGAAGAAGAAGAAGAAGAAGAAGAAGAAGAAGGAGAAGAAGAAGAGAAGCGGAAACCGTACCTGCATCAGCGGTACTTACCTGGGCGACATTGCCGTGCTCCACACTGGCGACCTGCAAAACAACAACAACAACATTGCCGTGCTCCACACTGGCGACCTGCAAAACAACAACAACAACAACAACAACAACAACAAGAGGAAGAAGAAGAAGAATAGAGGGGCGGAGGCCATACTTGCGTCAGCGGTACTTACGTGGGTGTCATAGCCGTGCTCCACGCTGGCGACCTCCCTAACAACAACAACAACAACAACAACAACAACAACAACAACAACAACAACAA